TATTCCAAGTGGATCCAAAGACGAAGGACAATACTGAGGTAACAGAGAAAAGGATCAGTGCCTACTTGAAACAGCTTTGGAAAAGCGGAGTGATCACTACTAGTACGTTAAATGATCTGTGACCTCGTGGAACACGAATACCACATATTTACGGTTTACCAAAGCTCCATAAACCAGGGGCTTCTTCGCACCCGATTCTGTCAATGATCAAATCGCCTCAACATAGATTAGCTTAGTGGTTGGCCAAGAGATCAGTCCCATTCGTACGAAACTCTCATTTCGGGTTAAAAGATTCTTTCCTGTTGAACGGTACATTACCGGATATTGATTATCGCCAATGTTTCCTTGCTTCTTATGATGTTGCTTCGCTATTCACCTCAATATCCTGAAGTGGAGCCACCGGGCCCCGGTTAAACTGTACCAAATTCCAAGGTATTAGCAGATAATACTACAGTTCTATGACAGCATATGCTTTAGGACATTATGTAAACCAATTTCTTTAGTTATATTCGCGTAACTCAGGAGTCATCGTTAAACTAAACAGCCAAGGAACCTTAGGCCTTAACCCTCCCATTGGACAGCAATAGCACGGAAGAGCTCTGGGAATGCATCCAATCGGTGGATTAACTTTCGGGAGATGCATGAAATGCCGCCTAAATAGGATTGGACAAGGCATACACGTACAAAGGCCAACAAAGCCAAGCGAGTAGCTAAGGAAATCACGTCTGTTAAATATGAATCCATCGACTGAATACCTGAGCCTCTTAAGTCAACCTTAAGTTCTGTCTTGGTAGACTGAGAATTCCAACAATCTACAAAACGAACTTGATAGCTTCACACTCGATCTCATTTCATTTCAAAAGGTACGGAAGTCACTCAGTAATCACCCCCTTTTTAACTTGCTTTCTGGCATATTCGTACAATTCACCGGGAATCCGTTTACTGGTAACCAATTTTCCCGCGATAAGGGCATCAAGTGGATTTCCTTACTACCCACCGTGACCAGGAAGACATGGGAAACAAACTCTTCGTCTCATAACCCTATCGCTCTGCGTCTCTAGATATCACGAAACGCAGACTCTTCCAACTGGTGTCGAGCTTCGTTGGAGTGGAATAAAACTAACTCACCGCAGTGTACACTTCAATATTACGTGCCGTTTAAACCAATAGCAAAAATCCGTGTTCGAGACTACGGCACTTTTTCGTCCGAATTCACTACAAAAAGCGATATTAAGCAGGGTTGCCCCCTCTCTTATCGCTACCATTCAACTTCTTGAATATTTGATTCTGGAAACAGCCCAGGCCTCGTGGGTGGATAGTGGTATCGACTTCCTCCCACATTCACATTCAAGGTTACAGGACTGGAAACGTTCGACTACCAAAGTCACTCTAGCTGAGAAAGAAATGTGATGTAAAGAAACTTAGCTAACTGGTAGTTAATGAAGGCGTCAAGTCGGTACATATAAATAGGTTGAACACAGAATTTTAGGTAATCGCGATTACGTTCGCTATGGCACTTGTTGCATATACCACGGTGGGCAGTGTTTTCTGAGGCAGGTGGTGCATGAAAGATCAGCGGTGGTTGAACTACGATCGTGACCAGAGGACTCGGTTATATGGATCACGGTAGGCTTCTTGGAAGGTGACTTCAGGACCAATTTACACCGTAGTTAGAGATATGGCGGCGTATCGTAAATAGTGGTGTTCGAGAGTTTACTCATTATGGTTGCAACTTCAGTCTTCCTGAATCCTGTATTTCCACGTTGAGACTGCTGCCAACATTCCAGCTTGCTCTCTACCGTTGCATTCAAATGCGTGGCCAAGAGACGGCCATCGAAACCACCACATGAAAGTCCAAGGTTATGTAAACCTAAAAATAAAAAAACGATGGCACTGTATCTAGAACTAAGGCTCGGACTAGTGGAGTTAGGCGGGGAATGATCATCCGTAAGTTAATGCAAGATAGAACGCCTCAGTAAAGACCGAATCTCGGGAAGCACTTGCAGTCATTAAGTGTCACCCCTTTTATCTCTATCCTACCGTTATTACTTTGATTTTGTTCAACTAAACTATCCTCATCTGTGCACTAGGTACTTGCTCTTCGTTTCAGGATTCACCGATTCATTTCTGACAGAATGGTTGTTTAATGATTGTCCCAAAGAGTTGTGCAACACCATCGCCGATTTTCTTCCCTCCAATTTCCAGCAATACATAAAAGCAAGATGATGATGATGATGATAAGTTACGAATTTTGCTCACATTTTCTCGGCCTAGGTAATTTACTCCTTTGGTTATAATACATTTGTACACTAAATGAAAACCTAAGCCAAGATGTACCACCCATTTACCAGTTCTAGCCTTCCCACTCAGATCAGAGGCTACCATAAACCTAAGGATGGTAAAAAAAATGGATTTCACAGAGTATCCGGAGGTCATTGAGAAAACAACTACTACCGTGGATCTCCCTGAACAACGAGATATTCCTCTTCAATAACTAAAATCATTCTCTTTTGCCTTGTATCAGAGTGCGCAAATAGGTGAATTTTGAATGTTTGGAGTGGGGTGGAGACGTTGGTGCAGTAAAACCAAAAAATATATGACCCACAAGCACATCCAGAGGTACGTTGATCAGAGGCGTTTTATTCGAATTGTTCTATATTCACAGCATTGCAACGAATAGCGCGCACTTATGCAGTGCAGGTGCACAACCAGAGCGGCGGGTGGGGACATGTCGAGTGAAACATAAACGAGAGGAAAACAACAGAACGGATTCAAACTGCAGTGTGGGATCACTAAAGGCGATCCCGTTTCCAGATCAAATCAAATCGGATTAGATCACAATTATTAAGAGGTGCCAGATGATAAAGATAATGATGATAATAATAATAATAGATTAGTATGTGAGGAATAGTTGAAAGTTGGTGAAGGCGAAGTAGTGAGTACAGGTTCATTCCGGTCTTGGATTTTTATTTATTTATCTGAACACCAACCACATTCGTCAGTCTTGATATCAACGGATGTAGTTTGGGGCGAACGGAAATAGGGTTGTCCATGTGAGGCACGTGAGTTGGTTGTGCATAGATGACAGATCGTTTGTGCGCACAAGCGCAGTCCGGACGCAGACAAGAAACAAAAACGGATGAGGGGGTGGGGAGCAAAGGAAATCACAGACAGCTTTAGACACGCGCGCACCCCCATGAGATTGCCCAAAATGCAATCAGTCAAAAGCGAAGTCGATTGAGAAAAAGCAGCAACAGGGTGGTAAACAAATCAGGCACTGGGAATGGACAATGATCCTGATTCTAGAATTGCTTCGTCGCCCAAATTGAACGAGAGTTGAAATTTCAGATTGAATGTGGGCTGGAAAAAAAAGAGAAAAGGAAGAAATGTCATATGACGGACGGCATTAGCTGCGTATCGAACTGATGCGGGGTAGACGGAAACGGACTTAACAATGGCTTTGTGATCAAAGTGAACTCAAACATTTGACGGATAAACGCGGTATCCGATTCGACTTCCTATGATCTCAACTCGAAAAGAGTGATTCGATTTAAGTGCCATTTAGGTGTATTCGCCTCCGACAGCTTCAGTATAGTTGGAGTGGGTGTCTTCGTTTGTGGTTGGTCATACATTCCTTGTGCCACACGAAATGCTCCTATACGACCAAGCGTCTCAAACAGCCTTTGCTGAGGAAGCCCTATTCACTGCCTTCTCGTGGCGGAGGTGTATTCCCACCAATGTAAGAGGATGAAAGGTCCATAACCGGGGCTACAATAGCATTGATGAACCATCGGCAGTTCACCTAGGTTAGCTGGCTAAAAACTCTGATTCCAAACCAACCAAGAAGAGGCGTACGGGCCAAACTCACCCACACTTCGACTGTGACAGTGGTCACCGGCTCGGCTGGGTATAGAGATGTATTGGACACCTTGGACGTTTGACCATGTCCAAAGGAGTATGATCCGATGAACTAGATCCCTGCACCCAGTGGATTGCGGTTTTTACACATGATCCCTGACTTTGATTAATCAAAGGCACCAGTTGTGAATTTCTCAAAGAAAATTCACTTGCCTTGGCCTGGGCAACCTGACAGTATTCCGCCTATATGCAAATCATGAAACTTTTGCTTCCTTATGAAGACTTTTACACCATGGTTTGCTTGGCACGGTCTGGATTGAGAAGCGTGGGAAATTCAACAACAGCAACACAATGTACTTGCTATCATACGGACTCCCACTAGACTCCCAAAACCCAGTCAGAATGAAATGCTATCAATGCAAACGTACAGGTGGTTGGAAAACTGAGTCCTTCTTAATCCGGGTACCACGAACGGAAAGAAAATACATATTGACAAATGGGCACATTTAGTTTATTCTTTTTCATTGACAACGGGACAACACAGTTGAACAATATGCAAACCGCTGAATGCCAGAACTTTTGGAGTCATTTTAACTGTCTTCTTGCTCGTGATGTTCTTACTAGTTATCCACTGATTGGCGCTTATACAGGCCGAACGGATTGACACTTGGCTTAAAGGTGACAAAACAGCTGGTACAGTGGATTTTCAATCAGTGACTCAATTGAAATGAAAAGGACAAAACTTGGTATTGGTCATTGTACAGCATCTCTATTCAACCGGCCGTTGAATTCACCTGATCAAGTCAGGATCCGATCCCCTCCTCAACATTCTGCGCAGAAAGAGTTACCGCATCTATTTTTCCTTGTATTAGTCAGACATTAAAAAAATATTCCACTGTTAACGCCATATAATGCATCGTATATAAAAACTGGCATGCTTTACGTTAACGGCCGACAAGAATGAACGAAATGTACACCACTCTAGACCTGTCACTCTTGTCAGAAAATTCGTATCGTACGAATTTAATTGTAGTTGCATAGGAGCAGCAGAGGATTTGACTTGATTAGATGATGAACTTTGTTGTATGCAGAGCAAATGAATCGTGAACTGAAAACCTAGGAAGCATTGGACAGCTGTTTCGACCTGGTTGTCTTATCAAATCCTTAAGTATCCTCATGTAACAAGCAATGCAGTTCGGAAGGTTTCCGGCCGAATAACAACGCTGGAGTCTAGTGATGAGATGATTGAGGTGCGTAGCCCGAAACAAACCTGCAAAGATGGACTATGCTAATTTGTGTATAGACAAATGGGAAAACGGTCTGATCAAGTGGGTAATATGCTCCCGTTCTACCTGAGGTCTCGGGTTTGATCCCTAGTTGGGTTAGTGGATTCGCATTACTGACGAGACCCCACCAGGGAGAAACAACTGTCCAAGGCATCCGACACTTTCAGTTCGTGCTTCGTCGTAGCTCTTTATATGATTGAGCTGTCACATATTTTAACTCAGCATCTTACGATTCCTCGTACTCACCAGATCCTGGTGTTGCTTGGACACTGGGAATTCATCGGTAACATGTGCAAAGCATGTGTTCGTCTTCAAATGGAGATTTTATAAAATTTATCATCTCAAAAATATATATCAAACTAATTAAATTCAACAATGCAACAACAACTCAGTAAAAAATGAACGGTCTCCGCATAAAATGAGTATAAAAGGTGTCCCTAAATAAGACCATTCCTTCACTGGCGCCAGTTTGCCTCTAATTACTGCTTGGCAGTCTTTGATGAGCCAACCACGACCCTCTTCCGGATAAATGATTGCATATAAAATAACTGGTCCTTGATCCGAGGTTCAAACCCCGCCACAGCTAAAGTCACCCAACTTGGGTGATGAACAGCTTCATTAGCCTCTGGCACAATTCTACGGCCGACTTAGCGGGGTTTTATGGGGTTCCCCAATTCACGTCCCATGGCTTAGGCTGTTGAGTATCACGAATGAACAGTAGATCCTCGTGAAATTATACAAAGGTATGCAGGAAACAAACGCGTTTCGTAAAAAAATAACACATCGGTACAAAGGTAATCCTGATTCTTACTTGGTTAGCGGGAAACTAAATCGTGGCAAAAACTCACGTTGTGGACAGGATCATAGATCAGAATCACTTGATTGATGGCACCCGTCGGCAGAAACGGTGAATAGGCAGACAAACTTTGTCCCGACGCTGTCAGATGTCGCAATTGTAAGGGCTGTCGAAAGGACGGAATAGAGCCATCATTACAACACCAGTAAGTGGTGACGCGTAGGTGTACAAGAAAAAAGTATGCGAAACTCAAGCAAGTCAGCAGGCATGTATGGACATGAACGAAAACTAGACCAGACCGGGAACATGAGCCAAATTGGCAAGCCCAATCTACTAGGCTAAATTTAGGAAGTTAGTATCACCTGATGAGAGTTGTCGAACCGGAGGACTGTCTGATACTGATTTAGTATATGACCACCTTTCTTCTCGACTCGGGTAAAATCAATAATATTTAGGCTGAACATGAAGACGCGAAACACCTAGAGGAAGTAACGTACAAAATACTGAGTGGGAGAAGTAAATTCACAAGATGATAAGTGGTCTCCACCTAGAACCTAGCTTTTACCTCCGGTTTTAAGATAATGTGTGCATTCAGCTATCAGGTAAATGGGCACCTGACGCTCGCGGTGTAGCTCGAGTCGGAATTGCGCTAAGTGCCAAAGTTAAGGTTCGCTTTTTGATTCCATTTCAATCAATAGTCGATTATGGTGCTGTAAGTCACGACGGTTCTGTACGGGTCAACGCGAAAGGCCGGTGCATATTCGCCGTGTCCTGATTACAGCCCACCCAAAACAACAAGTGAATTTGACAATAATCACTCAACTGCTCGAACGTGTCCGGTCGACGAACACAATAGTAGTCGCTTCTTCACAGCGATAGACCCTAATCCACCACATCGTCATCAGATGCTGCTGGTGGGGGTTTATGCGAAACCGCCACTCACTGGTCAACACCCGTGGACACGAACCATACTTTGCTAACAGCTAAATTCTCCCAACGCCTGGTCAGTGTTTGCAACAAAGCCGATGGCCTTCGAAACGGAGCTCTCGGATTGCCTATCAGTTCAACCATTAGCTGAAAGACTCAATATTGATCGAAACAACATGATTTGTTTGGTACAGTCTGGACTCAAGCGGGTGAAAAAAACGGTGCTTTCTAAGGCGCAGTCTAAAAACAAATCATGGATCTCCTCGACCTCGACTGCCTTATTGGAAGATGGCAGAAACATTCCTCATGATGCCAAACACGACATAGTGAGCAAATACGTTACACACCAGCCAATTAAGAGCTTGAGAGATGACCGCGAGGAGTGCTGGGTAGGGAGTTTCGGTTTGAGATTTTCAGTTTTAGAAACAATCAACTTTCGTACGCTGTCTTTTAGTAGCCCATTTGGAAAAGAGAACAGAATGAAGAATGGAGTGTTGAGAGCAAATTCAAGCGGGAGATAGGGAATTCATGCAGACTGGTATTACAATAATAATGAGTAGATGCGTGAGCGTTACTGTTTGCGACTTCCGTCGCATCCCTCAGTACCTCTAACTATCGGTGATCATAGTCTCGGAGTCCTCAGCCAAGGAGCCGAACGCGACCTACGTGACCCAGTCTCCTGGTTAAAGTTTTCATACCCTCGTGGCTCAGCATGGTCCGGGGTGGGCGTCTAGTGTTCCGGTTGGTCACCCTACCCTGGCACCTTGAAAAATGCTTCTATAAGACTAAAAGTTTCGAATAGCCGCTGCCGAGGAGGCCTACTCACTGCCTTCTCGTGGTGGTGTTTTCCCACCAAAGTGAAAGAACAAAAAGCCAACATCCAGGGCTATAACCGGATTCGTGGACCACTGGTAGTTCACCTAGGGGAGTTGGCAAAAACCCTGATTCTAAACCAATCAAGAGGAGGCGTGCGAACCATACACAACTTCCAGGTTGTATCAGTGGTCACCGGCTCGACTGGGCGTCAAGGTTTATTGAGCGCCTTGGACGTCAGACCCCGTCCAACCGGCGTACGATCCGATGAACTGGACACCGGTCCCGAATGGATTGCGGTTTTTGCACACCGATCCGCTGCCTTTCGGGTCAGGCTTTGGATAACCGAAGGCTTCGATAGTGGATTCCTCAAGAAAACTCATCTGTCTTGGCCTAGGTAACCTGGCAGTATTCCGCCCGCATGCAAATCGTAGAACGTCTTTCTTTTTCATAAAGATTATTGTGCTATGATGTATTTGGCACAGTATGGATTCAGGCGTGTGTGAAAATAAATATTTATATACCCTTGTAATAGGTCTTGGTTTGAACGCCTTTGATCTTTTTCCATCCACTGCCTGCCCCGGCAAACACCGTTCGCCGTGACAACTCATCTTCTGATATGCGTAACACATGTCCCAACCAGCGTAGTCCAGGGAGGTCGACCACTTTCTCCAGTGGACGACTGCGATTACCTAAAGCTCTACGCCTAACCTCAGCATTACTCGTCTGGCTACCACACCAGAATCGCGCAACGTGAAGTAGACAGCGGTGTTTGAACACCGACAATCTGGTAATATCCTATTCACGTATTGGCCAAGTGTATGCACTGGTCCAAGTGCAGCAGCGTATACTCGACCCTTCACGTACAGCCGGATGTCGTGACGGCGCCACAGATGTCTCAAGTTGGTAAATGCCAACCGAGCCTTCTGTATGCATCCCGACACTATCTGGGACGCGTCCGCCAGGTGGAATATAGCTGCCCAGATAGCAAAATTTGTCGACTTCCTCCACTGGAATAACCCAACCTTGTAGCAACATTTTACACTTTGAAGGTGCAAAACGCATGCCGAACATGGCTACACTGACATTCAAGCTGTCCAGAAAAGCTTGTAACTTACCTGCATCTTCACTTAGTAGCACGATGCCATCTGCATACCACAGATCAGACACTCGGACTCGATTTCGGCTGTTAGTATGAAGGGATTATAAGATAGAAATAAATTTCTCGGGCACGCCCTTTAGAGCGAAGCAGCGCCAGAGTTTAGAGTGGTCGACTGAGTCGAAAGTCGCTTTCAGATCTAGAAAGATAAAAATGATGGGTCTACGAAAGGAGTGTCTGTGTTTAGAATTTGACGAAGAGTGACGATGTGATCGATACAACCTGGACCAGGTCTGAAAATAGCCTGGTTTTTACTCTTATATTGTTCACGTACGGCAGACATCCGACGAAGTATAATATCAGCGAGAAGTTTAGAGGCAATGTTGATTAAACTAATTCATCTGTGGTTTTCACAAGAAAATCTGTCACCTTTCTTGTAAATCGGTATGATGGGTCCAGGAGTTTCGTTAACTTAAAAAACCGAGACTGAACCTAAATCCTTAACAACCGATGAGGACAGCCCATCAGGGCCGGAGGCCTTATATCTTTCGAGGTAATTTACGTCGCGGGTAGGGAAGTTTAGATAAATGGGAAGACGAGGAATACCAGTAACAGTCGCAATCTTTTCCGTTTAATTATGAGTAATGGGTCCAGGAAAGTAGTTGTCAGGTAAGAGTCCAACGGAACACTGAATCGTATACAGGAAAATCGATTTAAGCGATGAGCAGAACATTTCAAGGCTCGCTTCCGTCGACACCAGACCTATGTACCCATACTTTAATTCGGCAGCTATTGTCACTGGATATCAGAGCTCCATCTGAAATGGATGTTATCCGGGAACTAAGTTATCTACGAAGATATAAGGCTTCCCGCCCGAGTAACTACACTCATTAGCTTTCATAAATGGAGGTAAAGCCTTGGTGTCACAGTTAATGGAACTCTTGGAATCAGTACAGGAAAGGGAACACTGAGTGGTGTGAATCGGTCATATTACCGATTTACAAGATCGCAGGGAAATTAGTTTGATCAAAATTGTCTCGAAAAGTCTCGCGGGTGTAATACTCCGTCAATTGTCTGTCGCACATAAATGGTGTAAGTCAGAGAATAAGGTTGCCTTTAGACCTGGTCGAGGTGATAGAAACAAAATTTTCCCCAAATTCTGTAACACCGATATTATTTTCGCAGACATATCATTTCCACCTTCCTCGATCTGAAAGCGACCTTCGACTCAGTAGACCGCTCTAATCTCTGGCATAGCCTATCGCTGAAGGATGTTCTGGAGAGGTATGTCTCAATTTTCGATCCCATCATGATCGAAACTGTGTTCGAGATTACGGTCCGGTAAGTTGTACGCTTTTTGGAATGGTGTCAGTGGTAGTGTAGGCATATTAAGCATGTGTTACGCACATTCAAAGTGAAAAACGTTGCTGTAGGACTGGATGGGTCCAGCTATCCTCTCTTTTCTTTTCATTTTTCATTCCGTTTATTGAATACACAATGATACAATTTCCAGGAAGGGGGAAGTGGCCAATCAAAGGGCTTCCGTACAACACAAACGGAAAAAGTCAGGCGGTGGTGGTGGGGTTCGAACACTTGTCCTCCAGGGTGATAATTTGGTGAAAGTACCACTGGGCCACCACTCCAACCGAGGAGGTGGGAATATTTTACTACCTGGGTAGCACTATCTCATCAGGTGGATATATCATGGATGAAGTGTCGGCATACATATACGGAAGGTTTAACTGACATTCGCCAACTTGAGACATCTGTGGCGCAGTCCCGACATCCGGCTATCTGCGAAGGACCAAGTATGCGCTGCAGTAGCTCGGGCAGATCCGCTTTATGTTGCACAGGCCTGGCCATTACGAAAACAAGAAAAGGATGGACTGCGGTGTTTGAATACCGGTAGGCTTGTAAGTTCATTCAGATAAACGGTAGTCCAGGATTGAACTTCACGGAGACAGATGAGATCGAGTGCAGAGGAAAATAAATGATGGGCCATGCAACCTCGAGGTCCGAAGTATGAACCTCGTCGAGGTCATCAAACTTAGTAGGTAAACAGGTTCACTATTTCCCAGGTCAAAACTATACCTACTACTTTGGTAGTTGATGCGGTTCACTTCTCCAAGGCCCAGGGCTGAAAGGACCGATTCACATAACGGAACAGTAGATGTTCGAGATCAAGGTCTTTACCTGTTCAGCTGTTCCATAAATTAAAGTGCCCGAAAGTTAAAGATGAATCAGTGAACAAAATTCAAGCTTAGAAGCGAGCATCATTTTCCACGCCCTCCAAACAGAGATATCAGTGTTCTTCGATTTGCAAAGCAACCCTGTATCCTAGTGAGAGCGGGTTGAGACGAACGAAGAGCAGTAGTTGCAAAATAGGTGAACAAATTTAGATCAGATCGAAGCAAGAAGCACTTCATCATCGCCGCTCTTCAACGCAAAATCAAATCCAAATAGAGTTTACAACTTTCTAGGTAAAGGACAATGATCAGTGAGCCGGATCATTTAGAGTAGATTGGACTCTGTAGGGGGACGAGTAGAACGCATCCACTCAGTGGTTTGGGATTCTTCAGAATTGGTAGAACTGGGTAGCATATTCACTTAAGTTTCTCAACCGAACCAACTATTTGTTTGTTTTCGTCCACTGATCCGTCGGTAGCAAAACCCAGTTCATATACAACGGTTATCAGAAGTAAGCCAACCTAATTTTACAGTAGCAAGCTAGGATTAGGTAACTAACCCGTCTCAGCTCGACCTATAGGACCTCAGTGAGTTAACAAACAGTGGAATGCTTATTCTTAATTATTCTGTTACAATCAATCTTGTCTGACTGGTTTAACACATATTTTTACAGAAATAAAAAGAATGAACACAGTTAGATGAATTTTACTAAAAGCAAATATTTCTCAGTTGGCGGTCTGTAAGGTCAGCTTGATAATCAGGATAATATTCCATCGGTTAAAAAACCAGTCACGGTGAGTCGTTCACATCTATCGGAATTAGGGCCAGTTAACACGTGCTTCTAGGTTTTCGAAAACGTTTGGCAACAGGCAATAGTTTAGGAGCAGGTAGTTGGTTGAGTAACTCGGTACGAAAACACCCCACAATCAGAACCTCATTGTTTAAGAATTCCAGCCCCTACAATGCTCATATGGGTTCCATTCAAGGCCTTCGTCGTAATACGCCATAGCAACAAAAACATCCTCTGAGGATCAGAAACAAACTAAGTCGTTTCGAAAGAATAAAACAGAAAGCATTAAAGATATTCGGTTGTCCGTGTGTTGGTATTGCTATCGATCGGTTGGTAGAGCGGACCACACTAAAGACATCCACGTCAACGAATATGGGCATTAGCGACTGGACATTTTCATTATCAGACAACAAAAAATTGCAAGTGGAACTGAATTTACCTTATTTACCCCAAACCGCATCAACAATTCCGATACCGGAAGAGTGCTACGATTTGTCACAACTGCAACGAACACGGACACATCCGGAGCTGGTCGATTGACCGCGTAATGCAGGTGCAGTCGTACACCAGGGGCAGTCTCGTCTGTCGTGTTCAGTGGATAGAGGGGGTGGGGATCACGTATCCGTGGGTGCGGTTCGATTGCAGATAGTTGAACATCCAGACTGGATAGATCGACGCTGCTCGTAGATGGGCGCGAGGGTGAACATTGAGTTGGTGCTGTCTGGGAATTCACGGGAGTCGTTGTGTTCGCGGGGTCAGTTGAACCATTCACGACGGACTGTTCGGGAAGAAGTGGAGCCACGCGACTGGGTGAAACATTCACACTGGGTCGTTTATCAGAGTCCGGGGTTTGGGTCGGCTTTCCAGTCGTGACGCCGCTGCATAAAAGGTGAGAAGATACAAAATGTAGCCAGTTTGGAATCCAAAGAGCTAAATCAAGTCTAAAAAGGTGATTAGTGATACGTGAAATTCACCCAGGAGTTTCGGTGCATGAGACTTTATCCCAAACATAGCACATCAGCCTGCGGTTTGCAAATTGAGAAAAGAAGATTTACAAATTACCATTTCCAGAGTATACGGGAGACTCATAAAACCGAGGTTTTTATCATTTTTACTTCCTTTTATTGAATACATAATGATAAAGTTTTATGGAAGGGGGAAGCGGCCAAAGAGCTGTCGTACAACACACAATAGGGAAAGACAGACGGTGGTGGTGGGATTCGAACACATGTCCCCGGTGAGATTACCACCGGACCACCACCGTCCTGGAAATGAAAAAAGTATACGGGTTATTTGAAACTTAGAGACTCATAAAAACCGAGGTCAATTTCTTACTTGTCCAATCCGAAAATCTGTCTACCCAAGCTGTCCAGTTCGTCGAAAAGTTTGGTTTTAGTGGAACTTTCTGAAAAGGCGCCTGTGGTGACTGACCCGGAAGAGAGGAGTACAGATGACTGGTAGCACGGTTGCTGTTGTTGTTGCATCGGTTGAGATGGTGTGCTACCTACCGCGGGCACAGTGGCTGACACGATTGGAGTGGCTTGAAACGCTGTGGGAACTAGAGACAAAGACCGAGAAATCAGAACCACATAAAAGGGACTTTTTCGTCAGGAGAGGACTTGTTTTGTGTATGGATAAGGCAACGGGGGACAAATGCAAACTAAGTGTCAAAAAGATGCAATCACAATGAGGAAAGGGACCCGGATGAAATGGCTTCAGTCGATTTGTGAGGAGGAATCTGAATAGTAATACTGTTGACCCAAAATGAAGACCGGTACCACGAAGTCTCGATTATCTTCTACGGACTGCTACTAATAATACTAATGCGGCTAATAATCACGATAAGAATACAGTGCATATTCGATCGAAAGGGCAGGCACGAATTACGTCGTTTCCCGTGGACGGAGTAGCATGGATAGTGCGTGGGGGGATGTATCATTGGGCGGGATAATTCAATGCTCTTTTTTTCTATCGGGAAGCTCGAATGCCACAATTTTCTACAGACTTGCAAGAACTGCCGGCCATTACGCAACGATGAATCACCGTCTTTTATAGTCTCGTGAGCTTAGTAATATGCCATATGCTAACGNTATGCCATATGCTAACGCGCAGCTACTCGAAACATTACTGATCTCCACTAGTGAAAAGTTGTTGTCCCAAGCCATTGTGAAAAACAGTATAAGTGACAGACCGGTTCTCTATGTCTAGCGTTACTAAATGTAGAAAAATCAAAAAACGGCAAACATCGCATCACAGATGGTTATTTCGCTGACCTTTGTGACCACAGAATGCCAGCAGACAATTCCGGAACGTGGAAGTGTCAAATCTCAGTCGTGATCGCAATAGCCATTCACAATTCATTATGACATATTGATCAGTAGGATCTGCAGGTTCAATTTTAAGGCATTTCCTAATGGAAGAGTATGCATTTCGACGCATCAAAAATGAACACTGCATTTTATCTCAAGGAAACTACTGTGGAACGAATAGGTTCAATGTCCTATCAATTTCACTA